TATAATAGATGTTGTGGTGGTGATAACAGTGATGACAAGAATAGGTTTGTATAGGCTTGGTTTGGGAAGTAGATTGATTTTTTGGCTTTTTAACTTTTTTGGCTATTTTAGCCTGGGCTAAAAAGTTTGGTTTGGGAAGGGCTTTTTGGCTTTCTGACTTTTTTGACTTTTTTTGTGAGAGAAGAATGTAATGATTATAAGTTGGATGTGATGTTTTGTTTGTTATGGCTAAAATAGCCTATTTTGTTTTTTGTGGCTAAAATAGCCAAAAAAGTCTGAAAACTAACTTGCCAAACAGAGGCATAGTGTAGTTCCTTATTATTTAAAATAAAAAAAAAAATAAATATAATTTCTATAAAAATTGAGAATTTTTTTTAGGTAGTGGCTAATTGGAGTGTGTTGTTGAGCTTCGGTAGGCTCCCCACAAAACCTACATTGATAATCTGAAATATTTAATGTATACGGTTCGTCTATTATTTTATCTCTATAAAAAAATCAAGTTGATCGGATATCGATAGCCATTTAATCAGAACGTATTTGTGTTAATAACTTTTTTTTAAAATTATACTTACCGTTGATATAAATGTGATTTAATCAAATGATTATCGATATCCAATTAACATGATTTATAAAAAAAATTAAAATACTTGATGAGTTCTACACATTAAACACCTAACTATACTGGGAGAGAAGCCACTCCTCTTTTTATTTATTTATCTTTTATATATCATAAACAATTCAAGTAAATGGATTTGATTTAAAGAAGGTTTGGTTATTAATTAAAAAAACAAAAAATGACCCATTACATGACGCTCTCTTGCTAAGTAAAGTTTTGGTGAGGATAAAATATATTTTATTTTATTTTTAAAAAAGTTATTCAAGTGAATTTTAGTCCGTGCTAATACTAACGATAAGTCTTATTTAATATTTTATACACTATTTTTTATTTTTAGTTTTTTCAAATAAGAACTAATTATATCACATCATACAGTTGTATCATTATATGACTTATCCATCATGTAAATGGAACTCAAATGCTTTACAACTACAAAAATCTACTTTAAACAGTGGATAGAATTATGTTTTATTTCTTGTTTGTTAATAGGGTAAAATAGTTAAAAAAATTAGTATAAATTGTCATATGATTTTTTTAAAATTTTTATTGTTTGTTTTTTCATAAAAAGTTAAAAAAAAATTAAAATAGTCAATTCTCAAACCAACATTAAAATTATCACTAAGAGTCTAAAGACTAAGGCCTAGTTTGGGAAGACTAAATAAATGTACTTTTTGACTTTTTATGAAATATGAGTTGGATTTGGGTTGGGTTTGAAGTGATGTGTTAGAGAGGTGATGTGACTTAAATAAGATGATGTGACTTAAATAGGATAGTGACTTTTTGACTTTTTATCTTTTTTCAAGCATGCCAAACTTGGCCTAATATTACAATGATGATCTATTTTTACGTGAATAGGTTAATAGAGAATTAGATTATCACAAAAGGTTAAAATCACTCTGTTAACTTGATCTTTTTTTTTTTTGATTCAAAAAAATAGATATGCAGATAAACTACTTCAATATATTCCTTAAGAAATATTGTCCTTTAACATCTACAACATATTTGCAGGAACTTTACCACACCTACGTCGGGATTGAAGTTTAGACCCCCTTGTGCTCCAAGTGCCGAAGAGTTTGTTTAATCTTAATAAGAGACTATGAAAACTTAAATCCAAACTTTAATCGAAAAATTCGAAAGTTTTATTCGCTGAACCAACATCTATTGATGTTAACTTGATCTTTGATCTCACCTCAATGACACTTATGTGCTTTCTAAAGAACACGTGGACAATAGCATGGGCTTAGTTATTAGCAACATTGGAGAAATACATGAGTTGTGGGATCCTTGCTAATTTTTGCTTTGGATTCACTTCTAAATTCCGAATTATTCAACTTATATGATTTATTGAAACCCAAAAAAAAAAAAAAAAAAGTTTTAGAATCAATCTAAAAAAAAAAAAAAAAACATATAATCAAATATCGGTAGTCATATGATCACTTTTATAACTCATTTTTTAATATAAATACGATTCAATTATGTGATTATCGATGTTTAGCAATTTGATTTTTTACATGTATAACACGCTCGGTGAATCTTATAAGATGAACAATTTAAATAATAAGAGTGTACTCAAACCTTACTGCTTGTTGTCTTGCAGAGCACAACAAATTCTGTCGTATCTTTATCTTTTTATTATTTACTTTCGCTCTTTATCAAAAAAGATATAGATATAAATTAATTATCAATTATTCTTCCAATTACTCACAATAACTCACATACATATTAACAAAATAATTAATAATTTAGTTTGTATTTATAACAAAACTTTTTCTTTATATTATATACCTATATTGGTGAATTAGTATTTGTACGATCAAATAAAAAGTAGTCAAATTACATGTTGCTCATGTAATGTAATGCCATGAGTAGTTATGTTTGGTGATGCATCATATCTATATTTTATTTACTTTGCTTATTTAGGCCTCGTTTAGAAACATGTTAATTTAATAATTTTTTAATTATTTGGTTAAAATATAAATTAAAAAAACTAGTATGTTTGGGATAATTTTATGACTTTTTACAAAAAGATGTGCAAAAAGTAGAGAGAAAAAAGAATCTTTAACTTTTTAATATAAGTTGTTGACTTTTGACTTTTGACTTTTTTAATAATTTTTTAATTTTTTGACTAAACCAGTCACTTCACAATTGTTTTTGGGCAACACCAACCGAATATTTTACAATTTTTTTGTAAGAGAACTTTAGGTTGACTTGGTCTTCCTTGTATTGTTTTTGTCCAATATTTTAATAAGATTTAAAGAGTTAGTGTAATATAATATAAACCATCAAGAACATGTGATATTATAAACTAAACATTAATTGGTCAAGTTGGTTAGCCCATTGACAACTTGTCCCCATATTTAAAATTTGTGTTTGATTTAATAATTTGAGTAGGAATTTATTGAGAAAAAGAAAAGAAAATTAAAAAATGAATGAAATATATGTTTTTTTTTTTTTTCTCATTTGTTCTTTTATAAATTTCCTTTAAAATTCTTAATTCAAACACAATCTCGCATATTTTCAGTGTGATCCTTAAATTTGATGCATATAAAAACTAATGCTATATAAATAGAATTTATGTATATAATTTTTAAATAAAATAATGTGTCTTATTTATATTTTAAAAAATGATATTCTGCCCGAAATTGATAGTGAAACGGACCAACGAGATTGCTTTTAATTAGTTTATGTACAGTACCACAAAACCTTAAACAAATCATGGCTAGTCGTGTTAGTCAGTTTCAATATACTATTCAATTTGAACAATAATACTCCTATTTTTATCTCTTAAAAATCAAAAAGACCCATTACATTAATTTATAATTGCAAAATTACAATTCTCATTACCACACCATTCTATGTGCATTTTTAATATAAAGATTATGTATGATTATCATTTTTACGGAGTTTCAATTTTGATATAGGATTTGCGAATGAATGATGGATTCAGTCATCTCGAATAACACGAGTCGCATGCGTTGTCTTTTTGACTTCAGTAAAATCTCCCATCACATGATTAATCAGTGTAATTCGGATCAAATCAACCTTCCACATTTTTTTCATTTCAAAGTGAAAAAGAAAGGAAAAGATATATTGATGGCTCTCAAATTGAACCTAATTAATCAGGCCTATGATTATGTGGAATGGGACCTCCCTTTTTATAGAAGTTATTATGATTTAAATAGGGGTCTAAAGAAGATGGACCCAACTTATTCATTAGTGTATTAGTACTGTTTCCTTTCTATCATTATTGATTATCTTAGTACTTATTCCTCCTCTTGAGAATAAAAAGTTAATTTACCACAAAGCTTGGAAGCACATCTTGAACACAAATTAAAAGTTCAGTGGAGCTTCTTACTAACTAAAAACTGATAAATTTAAAAATAAAAAAAGGGGCTAAAAGTACCACTTTTGGTTTTTAATAATTATTTTTTTAAACTTATTTATAAATTGTAAGTAAAATTTTTATCAAATATTCTGACATAAATTTTTAAGATAAAAAAAAAAAAAAAAAGTTAAAAAGCAAACAAACTGTGCCAAACAGAACTAGAGTTTGAAGGTGGATTGGGCTTTGTAAATTTTAACTCCCTCAACCTTACTCTTCTAACTAGACAGTGTTGTTGAAGGATTATCTCTAATCCAAATGCTTAATTATGAGCTTATCTTTGGAAGACTTTAGACTTTCCTAAATCTGACAGCTGTAAAGGATGGTAGACCATCTTGGCTGTGGGCTAGTCTATTGCAAGGGAAGATCAATGGTTTCAATGTCTTCACCATGTAGATCTTATTCTTTGTATATTCATTGAGACTTTCACTTTTACTTTGAAAGTTATTTTTTTTTATAAATTATAAATTATATTTAATCTTTATCATTGTTGTAATTTATTAAATTTTTTGGTAATATTTTATATGAATAAATAAATAACAAAACAAAAAGTATCTATGGAAGAAACTATGGAACATGTCCTCTTCCCAAAAAGTGAAGCATTTCTGTCTCCATCCCCTACTCTAGTGTCCAATTTATTAGAGGGAACATGAAATTGTGGAACATTTTGCTTTTCAGCTGCAATTGGACCCTTCCTGTCTGGTTTGGGAGTGATTAAATGGGCTACCAAGCTCATCCCCTCTATGCATTCACTTTTTTTAATAAAATATGTTTGACAGATGGTGATCACTACAAGATTTGGATTTGGAGAGGATCAAATATATTGTATATGTTAAACGGAGAGTTGGAATGCCCTTCGAATATATTTAGTTGTATTTAGATTATAAATTTGTGAGGTCATATGGAGAGATTTTCTTTCTCTTTTTCTTTCCCGACCCCAAACATAGCCTTATTAAGATTTAAATTGGTATATACACACAAATCAATTGAAGCATTCAGTAGTGAGAAAGATCAAAATCCATAACACAAACTAAGATTTTCGATGCATGATCATGGAAACATTGTTGCACTAATCAGTTCACCTCAAAAACTAATTTTATTTTCTACTTCTAAACTGAAAAACGACAAATTTGTGCCTAAAAATTATTCACACTTCCTAAAAGCCTCCTCGCTAGGCTAGTTGATGAAATTAGCATTCTAAATCCTAATGATTAAATCTAACAGCAATCGGAAATGAGATTGCACCATTTCCAACCAAGATCGTGCTCTCACCCGATGGCAACAGATTGTATGCCTTGTAGTCGACCATGCCAAGGCTCTTACAAGCATTCAACACAAACTCAACCCTTTTACTCTCTCCTGCTCGCACGAAAACTCTTTCGAAAGCAATCAGATCCTTGATAGGGGCCGCAAGGATGCCCTTTGGTGGGACTTTGTAAACCATCACGACTTCACTTCCATCCATCGTCCCTGTATTCTCAACTTGGACCTCAAATTTGAAGTCTTTGTTGCATTTTATGTCATCGATCAGAATTGCAGGGCACGGTGGCTTGTAGGCACCGTCAATGTAGTTCATGTTGCGACAATGTTGGAATTTGTCTAGCTTGATGTGGATTGACCTCTTGGAGGATACAAGCTTGTATGTGAATTGGGTGTAACTTAGTCCGTATCCAAATGGGTATACAGTGGAGCCATTGAAGAATTTGTAGGTTCTGCCAGGGTAGCCTAAGTTGTCAACTGGCCGTAGTGGCATGGATGTCATTGGTAGCATATCAACATAATCAGCCTCATACCATGTAAGCGGCAATCTTCCTCCTGGTAAATAACGGTATTAGAGTACGTATCATTATCGTTCCATACAATTATATATAAGTTCGAGTATGGGTTTACCTGACTCATACAGTGGATTAAAGCGTGTTGTTTGGGCCTGTCTGATTCATCACAAGTCTTATTTTGATAATTTAAACCGTTTGTTTGTTAATTTTTGTGTGTAGAGTATTCTTTTAAAAAATCAAATTGATCCAATATTCAAAACTATATGATTTCATTATGTTTGGTTTCAAAAAAATGGGCAACACTTGTAATTTTAAAAATTGACCATTCAAATATGATAAAGTTATATGGCTATGAACATTGGATCAATTCGATCTTTTATGGATAATTTACATACAAAGAGTTACAAAATGAACGATTCAGATCGTTAGAATAGGACTTGTGCTAGGCTCTACAAATCCAAACAATATTCTCTAATCCACTGGATAGAACCCATTCCATATCCGTCAATATCAAACAGTATGAGAAAAATAAATAAATAAATAAAATGATCTATGATTTCATTAAAAACAAATTGAGTATGATTTGTTATGTAATATAAAAGCATTTCCCAATGAAGATACTTTGGCAACCAAAAAAAAAAAAAAAAAACCATGCTTACTTGGGTTTGAGTGAAAGATAAAGGGCAAAAAAATTCATAAAAAATTTATGCAGCAATGATCTATAAACTCATTGGCAAAAAAATTTCCCAATGAATTTAATTTGGCTAAAAAAACTATGACAAAAAAAATTATGCAGCAATGCTCAATGAAAGCGAACCTGGATTGTATTTCCCAAAAATAATATCAGCAATCGCGCGACCGCCCTCCTCGCCAGGATATCCGGCCCACAAGATTGCATTGATATCGGGGTTATCTTTAGCGAAAGAAATGTCAACCCCACCAGCAGACATGACTACTAGGATCACCGGACCTTTGGAAACTGTGGCCACTTGATTTATCAGTTGAGTTTGATAGCCGGGCAGGAGGAGATTCACCCTGTCCAGGGACTCGGCCTCAACTGATAAATCTAACCCTACTAGGATTATAGTAGCATCGGCTTCCTTAGCAACTTTCATGGCTGGGAAAATCAAGCTCTCATTTTTGCAAGAAACATCCTCACAACCCATTTCGTATTTTACCTCCCCATACAAGGCGAAGCCATCTACTGGAGTGGTATATTTGCATGGAACACCTACAAATGGAAACATAATGAAATTTTAGGGCCAAAAAAAATCACATTTTTTTCTAATTTTTTTTAGCTTTAGTGGGCTTTTTTTTTTTAAAAAAAAAATTTATGTCAATTTTTTTTTTTTTTTTTTTTCAAGTCCTTCCAGTATAAAAGGATCAAATATGTAATTTCCTTTTTTTTTTCACTAAAAGCAAAAAAAATTATTATTTTTTTTCTTAGTGACTTTACCCATTCTTTTCTTCTCTTTTTTCTTTAGTGATTTTTCCACATTTTTTTTTCTTCTTTAATTTTTTAGTGTCTTCTAGTCAAACAAGACCTAGAAATTAAAAATAATTTGACAATGTTTAAAATAGATAAATGAAAAAATCAACAAAACATTTAAAAAAATGTAGTTTTATATGAACAAAACCAGCATTTAGGCTCTGTTCACCAAAGGTAAAAGATCAATTTTTTTCTCGAATGTTTTTTTACTTTTAGTGAATTTATTACAAAACCGTGTCAAGTTTTTTTTTCCCAAAATTTATTTTTTCTTTTGGTCTTCTAGTCCAGGATCTAAAAGTTAAAAAGTATATAGCAAAAAATTTCAAAAACACTAGAATGAAAAGAAAAGAAAAGAAAAAAAATCACTAAAAAAGTAGTTTATACCGGCATAGTTTCCGATCATGACCTTGGTGGCATTGGCATGAGGTCCAACAACTGCTATAGTTTTGATTTTAGCAGAATTCAAAGGCAAATTTTGATTATCATTCTTCAGAAGAACAATGCCTTGTTTGGCCGCTTCAGTTGCTAGTTCAATGTGTTCATCAGAGCAGATATGATTTTTTCCAAGAGACTTGAAATGAGGGCTACCATCAAAAAACCCTAATCTCATAAGCACAATATATAGATTTTTAAGTGCTTTATCTATTTCGGCCTCCCCAACTTTGCCTTGCACAACTGCATTTTCCGAGAATTTGGTGTAGAAGGACCCACAATCCAAATCCAACCCTGAATGTAGAAAACAAAACCAAAAACAAAAACAAAAACAAGGGTAAATTTTTATTTTGAAAATAAATTTATGGGTGAATAAAAAGAGAAAAAATATATGTTTGGTTTAGTTTTAAAATTTTTTTAGATATACCTAACATACATATTTTTAAAAAGTATAATATTTGTGAAAAAAATCTTTAGAAAATTCACTAAATACAAAAAGTTAAAATAAAAAAAAATTAGAATTCAATACATTTTTTGTATTCTTGTATATTTATTGATTTTTTTAAATATTTTTTTATAAATATTTTATTTTTTAGATGCATCTAAGGCCTCGTTTGGCAAGAGGTTATTTTAGCCAATTAGCCAAAAAGTTACTAAATTAGCCAAAAAGCCAACAACCCATACCAAAAAGTCAAAGATTCTCTTTTCTCTCTACTTTTTGCACATCTTTTCGTAATTAGCCAAAAAGTCATCCCAAACATACAAGTTTTTTTTACCTACCTTTTTAGCCAAATAGCCAAAAAGTTACTAAATTAGCCTGTTCCCAAACGAGGCCTAAGTTTCCAAGAAATTTAAATGGATTGTGAGGACTAAATGCTGGGGGTGGGCCAATTAAATTTAACCCCTTCTACGGACCAATTGAAGCCAACAAAGGAGGCCCAGAATTTTCAGAATCTTCCTCAAAAACTTGGGTTGAAAGTCTATTCTATTTTAGCTATAACAAACAAAACATCACATTCAACCCATAATTATTACATTCTTCTCTCACAAAAAAACTCAAAAAAGTCAAAAAGTCAAAAATTTTTTCCCAAACCAAACTTTTAAGCCCAGGCTAAAATAGCCAAAAAAGCCAAAAAGTCAAAAAGCCAACCCACTTCCCAAACGGAGGCTTAGTTTGTCTTTTTTCAGAAATAGTTTTGAAAATTTGTTTTGGAAAGAGAGTTTTAAAAAAAATAATTGATTTGATGTGTATGAGAGAGAGAGAGTGATTTTGAAAAGTAAGTAACCAAACACAATTTTGAGTTTTTTTTAGAAAAATTTATTTGATTTGATTACTCTTAAAAATTTATTTGTAGAGAATTTTTCTCAAAATTTTTTTTAAAAAATAAACCAAACAAGGCCAGTATGTTTGGGAGTTGAGGAAAGAAAAACAAAAGAAAGAATTACTTATGTTGAAATAGAAAAAGAAAGCACTTTCTTTTTTTTTTCTTGTTTGGATAAGAAATAAAGAAATAATATAATTTCTCTACTGTCTTGTTGCTATATACGATAAGAAAAAATGAAAGAAAATGAGTAGTGTTTTTTTATTTTATTTTTTCAAATGCCCAATATTTCTTTATAATTAGACATGCAATTTTAATATTGTGAAAAATTAGCATTATTTTTTCCCCTCCAAATCTCTTAGAGTGGACAGGGAGAGTGGAGTACAAACCTGTTCCCTTGCCATTCCTATTGTAGGCTCTACAATCACTTTTACAGTTTTTTGATTGGATAGTCTAATTAACTAGGGAGAATTAATTTTTTTTAAAAAAAATGTATTCTCTTAATTTCTTTACGTTTTACTCAATTTATCTCTTATTTTAAAAGAGATGATTATTGCCAATAAATTTATTTATTTATTTATTTTTCTCTTCAAATCACAAAATCCAAACAGATAAAAAAGTGAGAGGATAAGATTGAATATGAATACCCATGAAGATCCCATTCTCCTCTAATGGTGTCTTTGAGGAGCTTTGGATCAGCACAAGCAGGGATTCCATTGATGCGATTGTAAGAGCACATTACACTTGTTACATCTCCCTCTTTCACACACATCTCAAATGGTCTTAGGAATGTCTCCTTCATATCTTGCTCAGTGACCTTTCGAAAATCAAACAAAAAATATATAAGTCTAAATAACAATTCTAAAAAAATACAGAATTCAAGAAGTGTACAAAATACAATATTAGCATCGGTGCATTGAACTAGGTTATTTGTGGTGACGGTACCCTTGAATCAAAATGGTACCAAATGCAGTGCTAGTATCATTGCGTTGAACTACGTCATTTGTCCAATTTGACCCACCTTGACAATCATGGGATCTTTTGAACACATTATTCATATCAAAAAAAAAATAAATTAAATTGATCGAATATTGATAGCTATTTGGTTGAATCATATTTGTTTAGAAAAATAGTAGGTGGACCATATTCAAACTTATACAATCATCTACTCTCTTTTTTCTGACAAATGTGACTTGACCAAGTAACTATCGATATTTAACCAACCTAATTTTTGGTATGACTAATGTGCTCAACAGATCCCACAAGATGAATAGTTCCGATCGTCAAGGTGGGCCCATAGTGGGCTGGACTGGACCTCTCAAACTAGAGAGGAGCTCTTTCTTAATAAAAATTAGTGTAACCAAGCTAAAAATGTAGAATTAGAAAAATGTACAGAATGCAGTATTTTGAACTCGGTCTAGTGATCTTACCCTTGAATTAAAATGGTACCGATCAACTCCGATCCAATTGTCAACATCGTATGCCGCATAATGCTTGCAACATGCAGCAACTTTGAGAGGTCTCGAGTTCAAATCTGTGGTGTTTTCAGTGCCCTCAACATCCTGCAACCCTCGGACATAGTTGGCGGCATATCTCCCGACAACGAACGGGTCTTCGCCAGGTGTCTCTAGGGCCCTTCCCCATCTAGGATCTCTTACAACGTTAATGTTTGGACTCCAAAATGTTAATCCAGCCTGCCCTGCGTTGTGCATTGCTCTTGCTTCTGTTGAAACAGCCTGCAAAAATTACAAAATTAATTTTACATCTTATATTTCTAAAATAAAGTATAGTCACGTATAAGAATTTCATTTCTATTTTTCTGTCTTTCTTGGAAGAGGAAAACATAAAAAAAAAATCATTTATTGATAATGTCAAAAGTGAGGTAGAGGGTTCAAAATCTGATTTTTGAAAAATACCAAAAATTAGTATGGTGAAAATAAACATCCAAAAAGATATTTTTGAATTTTTAAAAACTATTTCTGCATCAAAAATAAATTTAAAAAACAATATAAAAATAATGAGGGCCTGTTTGATAATTATTTCGTTTTCAGTTTTCAGTTTATATTTACAAAAATTTTAAAAACTGTCATAAAAACTTGTCTGATAATTTTTTTATATTTATAAATGGTTGTCTGAGTTTATAAATTTGAGGAAAAAATGTAAACTCAAAAAATGAGTTTATGTTAGTTTTTAAACAGAAATTTAAAAATTTGACTAACAATTTTTTTTCAATTAATTTTTTTTTCAATAAATTTTTTTTAACAAATATTTTTTTTCAATTAATTTTTTTAATTAATATTTTTTTCAATTATAATGTGTATGATCCCATTGTCATAAATAATAAAAAATAAATAAAAATATTTTAGGCCTAAATAAACATATTTCTTAGTTTCTGTTTTAAAAATTTTTCAAACATTTTGTTCAAACCAAACGCGTTTGTAGTTTATGTTTTTCTATAAAAAAAAAAAAAAAAAAAAAAAAAACTAAGTTATAAAATTTTTGTAAACATAAACTAAAAACGTAAACGTTACCAAGCGCTACCTGAATGTTTCTGAAAAGTTCATTATTTTTCACCAAATTAATATTCAGTGTTTTTCAAAGGAGAGAAAGTTACATTAGTAGACATATATATTAAATATTAGTCTACATATAAAAAATTTGAACATAAGCTAAAAACGTAAACGTTACCAAACGCTATCTGAATGTTTTTGAAAAGTTCATTATTTTTCACCAAATTAATATTTAGTGTTTTTCAAAGGAGAGAAAGTTGCATTAGTAGACATATATATTAAATATTAGTTTACATGTCAAAAATTTGAACTCGCCGGTATCCCAATACTGATATTTAAAAATATATATGAAATAACCGTTCTTTTACAACATTTCAAATTCATTGTATCAAAATTAATTAAAACCAACATTTGAATATGTAAAATCAAAATAGCTACATCACTCACCTGCCCAATTTTTTTCCACAAGGACTCATTGAAAGAAGCTGCAGTAACAATGACAGTCGGAAAACTCGTGGCACCGGGAACATCCCCACCGAAAAACGTGGCTGAGCTACCTCCTTGGCCCACATTCGATACGCCATGCAAGGCCTCCGACCACCACTCATATTTAGGCAATCCTAACCTATCCACCCCAAGAGCGGTATCGCCTATCTGTTGGACTTTTTCCTCCAAAGTCATTCGATCGATTAAGTCCTTAACCCTAATATCATAGGAAATAGACGAATCGCAATAGAGAAACTCATTAATGCTCAATCCAAGTTCTTGAAATCTTGAAGAATGGCATACATGAGTGTAGTTCTTGAATGCAGGGTTAGTTGAAATAAGCAAGTTTGGAGAGAGAGTTCTAGCATTGATAGAAATGGAAAAAAATAAAATAGAGAAATAAAAAAGAGAGTTGAGAGTGGCCATGATCATGATGAGTGAAAGAATTGGATAAGAGAGTGTGTATATATATAGAAAATGAGATGTTTTGAAGTCAACAAATGAAATCAAATTAGTTACCGAAGTTTAATATAACAACATGGATATATGATGGAAAGTTGTTAATTAAGTCCTTGGGATATTATTTGGATAATGTAAAATCTGATAGATAAAGATTTGTAAAATCTTTTTCTGAGTTGTTTTCTCAACTGAATTTGTGTTATGTCTTTCAACATGAAAACATTTTTTTGTTTTTAAATTTAAGTCCACGGATCAAAGATATAAACACCTAAATTAAAGGGTAATTTTTTTACAAAAAAAAAATAAAAATAAATCCCCTTTTTGGAAAAACTAAATAAGCAACTTTTTTTAGGCTAAAAAACTAAAAGTAAATAAACCAGTTTGGGAGGAGGACTTCATAAAAAGCAACATTTTTAGCAAATTTGTGAAAAGGTAATTTTAACTTCAAAACTTTCAAAAATTTTAATAGGTCCCTACAAGAGTTCCATAATACTAAAAAGGGTAATATGGTAATTTAACACAAAATAACTTTTTTAACAATTACTAAATGCATCAGTCTTTAAGTTAATTATTTTTTTTTTTAAGTAAAAAAATAATACTTTAAAAAGCAATTGTCAAATTCTACCTTATTTACATGTTTAAGAAAATTATTTTTAAGAAAATGGAAAAACAAAATGAATACTTTTAGCTGTGTTTGAATAAATAATTTGGAGAGGAATATGAAAGGAAATAGGAAATAAACAATGAATGAAATATAAATTAAATTTTTATTACATTTTCTTTTCTTTTTATCTGTTTCTTTAAATAGCTCTTGAATTTTTTTTTTAATTGTTTTCTATCAACAATCACCCTTCAAATCATAGATCCAAAACATAATTTGAACCATGATTGAGCTCAACCGAAACAATAATTTAAAGAAAATGATTGTTAACTTCATTTGGAAGACTCTCCAATAGTAAATCATTGTGTCAGCTAAACTTACTCAATTCTCCCTCCAAATAATAATTAGATCTTAAAACCAACAAATCAAATCATTGACTATTAGAGAATCTTGTTTAACAATGACTTATTCATACCAAATTGGAATTTGTAATCAATATCCTACCAACAATATGTCATTTTTCAACACAAAATGAATTTAATGAAATGAGTGAAGTGAGCAATTGGTGCTTGGCCCGATGCTAAGTCCATTCTGAGGTTGGGTTAGGTTGGAGCTCGGCCCTATGATCAACACTTGTTTCGAAGCAAGACAATTATTGGAATTCGGCCCAATGCACGAGCGTCACTCCAAAGTGGATACTCGGAAACTCGACCCAACGTGCAAGGCTCACTCCGAAACGGGCCAAGCAACAAGGTGTACCTCCTAGGTTGGACAACCGTTCCGAATTAGACTAATTTGGGAAAGGCCAACACACTGAAAACCTTTCTTAAGCTCACAAAAGACAAACAACTCTGCTCTTCTCCTCTCTGTTTAAACAAAACGTAGAGATATGGAGGCGTAGGGAGACAAGGTGCACACATGATAGACATACAATTGAGTCTCAGGCAAAGTGGTCATCCTCCTCTAATGAGAGACGATCACGAATAAAATAAACAGGACAAACTTGCATCTAAGTATCACGTGGAGTGGCTGTCCTCCTCTAATGGGAGACGACCACGAACAAGACAAATATGACAGATGGCGGAGAGAGAAGATTTTGAAAGACAAGCAACCTTCTCCTATAAAAGGTGAGCACTATTCACCCTCAAGGCATCCGAAATCCACACACTCAACACATATACACTCTTTGCATTTTTCTTTTTCTTCCCTAGTCCCTAACTTTACCCTCGGAGGGATTTCTGACCAAACTCCGGTTGGGCAGTCTTACCGTTTGTTACTCTGTGCAGATCTGCACTTCCCAGAGCACGCTATTCTTTCATGAACTTCAACCCTTATTTATTGTGCAGAAATTACCCCCGCTTATTAAATTTAGGCTTAATTTTTGGAGAAAATTCAATTTGGGAGTAGTTTGAAAAATAAATACAAATATATAAAAACATAAACTTTATCATGAATTAGAAGAAAGAAAAATATATATATATATATATATATATAATTTGAAACAACCATTGATCGGTAATTTTCCTAAATTTTGCAAATTATGCACCCTATTTTATTTTGTTCTTTGATATTTTAATTTTAATTGTATTAATTTTGATCTCAACTAATCTGATAAATTACACCAAATCGGCCAATTGACTTAAATGTTGGGAAATAACTCCTTTTCATTCTACTATTCTCCATACTCCTCTATATTTCATTTTGTGTGCTCCACTCTAAGCTCATAATGATTATTCGAATCCTTTTCTCATAAATCTAACAATAAAGACTAATGCAAAAAATCAATTTTGTCAAACATCAATGAATAGATAAACAAATTACATTTTGCTTTATAAAATCAATGATTAAAATTTAAACTCATAACTACTAGCAATTTTATATTTTAAAAAACAAAATATAATTTTTTTTTTCATGTGTATGATATCCGATGAAACTAGTTTTTTATACAACTTATCATTATTGTTGGGTCTATGAAATGAACGATTTAAATCATTAGTATAGCCTAAAATGAGACTCATAAAATAAATTATGAAAGAATACAAAGTATAATAGTATCAAGAGGAGCCATTCTCGAAAAAGACTGAATAAATTTTGCAAGTCCAATGAGATTTTGGTAGCTTGTAAAATAATCCTAGAAAAACACAATGAGACTAATTGTTATAGCTTTTGAGAGTGATTATAACTTATTTTGATATAAAAATTTATGTTAAATTATTTGGTTCAACTTCTACTTATAACTTATTGGGCAAAAATAACTTAAATAAGCTAAAAAAGCTAATTACTTGAAAGCTAGGATAAAAGTGTTTTTAATTTCTACTTTCTGATTATCAACTTTTAACTTGAAAACACTCCACCAAACAAGGCCATGACCAATTTAAACCTAAAAGAACTTGAAAAAAACTGGCCAATTTAAACCTAAAAGAAAATGTAAAAAATCTGAGTATTAAGCTATTGATGCATAATAAGTTATAAATAGAAGTCGCACTTAACAACTTCATTTTGAATTGTTCCAAAATGATGCATCAACTTCTGTTCTATGATAGATCGATCGATTCACATTAACGTAAAAGAAATTTAATTTCCTATTTTCCTACTCTTGAGATCCTTTCTAGAAAGCAAAATGAGGCTAGTGGAAATTAAATGCACATTTAATCAGCATCAATAAATTCAGATTAAAATTAAAATTAAAATTAAAACAATACTATATAAGGAAAACATCTCATGGCCATTAGATGCGGAAAAAGAAAATCTCCAAAAACATTTGAAAAAAGAAAAAAAAAGAAAAAGATGCTTGTGTTCCATTGCTATATACAAAATGGCAAAATCATGGCCGCGGCAGCCTTACAGCTGCACCCCCAATGCCGTGTCAAAGGATGTCATTCATCTTCTTTGACCTCAACCGACTGCAACAATCCAACTCATCTCTGACAATTTTCCTTTTTGTGAAAGACCACCACAAGCTCCGCTAATTTGCATAAAAACAATCCATGCACAAGTTGTCGTTATATAGGGCTTGCTCTTGATACCTGCAATTTCAAAACTCGAGTCACTAAGATTTGTTGCATTTCTTGTACACAACCACAAGAATGCTAATGATCGAAACAGAAGAAAATGATAAAATAGTTCTTCATGGATCGTACAATCTACTTTGACACTCAGTAGGTGATGAAGAGAAGAAAATATTAACGGACCAACTTGATTGATTATAATTTTATGAATACTTACACTTTCTAGCAACTACAAACTAGCAATCAAAATTAGAGAAAACAACTTCAAATCATAATTGAACATGAGACTTCTGGAATATAATTTGCAAAGGCGATACAGTTAGAGATAAAAGGTAGTTGAGTAGACAACTCTCGCTCCAATAAAACTGTAGAACAGAACTGGAAAAAGAAATAGCATTTGGAACCTGATTCTGCGAGCTTGCGGCAGCAGCCCAGGTCTGAGGATGTATGGATACTGAACTATCATGGATGAAAGCTATTGTCCTCGATTCTTCTACTATATTAACCGCAATTGCAGGTGGTAATTCCCTCATAACCCATAATACAATGGCTGAAGGTATAGATGAACCTGCCCAAGCAATGTAAAACATCATTTAATCAATTAGAAACCTTTTCAGATTTATTACTTGCTTCAGTTGTTTGCGACCAAAATGCAAAATGTATGGGGCAGAATGCTATTTAGTCAAGAATGTTATTAATTGGTTACTTATTCTTTCCTCCATTTCTTTAAAGAAATTTACTTGACCTTTATATCCCCATCTTGCTCTCTGATTAAATTTAGTAATTATTGCGCACACACCCAAAAAAAAAAAACAAAAAATGAAGGACAAATTAACTTAAAAGAAAAAAGTAACCAAAAAAAAATGGACAAAACCGGAGCTGGACCAGTAATTGTATACTGGAAACGTCAATCAGCCCTGCTGCTACTGGGTGTCAGAAAAATGTCTTGGTTTTCAAATCAATCTTGTGGCCTATAAAATATTGGGAACAAAAATTTGGAAGACTAAATATGGTGTAACTGATGTACCCATACCCCTAAATTTCTCAAAGGATTTACTCCATTAAATTGAAAGGATTTTCCCAAATTGAGTTTTATTTGTTTATTTATTTTAGTTATCTTCAAAAATTAATATTCAGATTGTACAACCCATTTTAAAATTGAGTACAACAAAAAATATGGATGGCCCAGTAACTTTATAAAGCAGTGCGAAGTGCATTTTCCTTTAGTTTTGAATTCTTCTAAGCTAATGGTATAGTGAAAGATCATACTCATAAACTCCTCAAATGGATCAGCAGAATAAACTTTCCTTAAAATTACCATGGACGAGAAGATAAGAACAGTACCATAAATAATGATAGAATCGCCTAGCTTCAATGCTTAGCAATGTGAAACACGAAGGGAGAAGTTAAAACAAATACCTATGAAGTAATACAAAATCAGCAGAAGAGAGGTATAGACACCGTCAACATGCTCATGATTCCAGTCATAAAGCATCTGCATTATTAAGCGTGTAAGTTTTTAGAGGAGGGAAAAAAAATGTAATACGCAACGCAACCAGAGTTGGAGAATTGAAAATGATAATTGAAGGACCAGCAGACAAGTACATACGGGTATATCAGTAAAAAGAGCAACCAAAGCACTTGAAGTAAAACATAGAACAGACACAATTGCCAAGCCTGCAACCTGCACAGAAAACAATACTTCACTAAAGGTTAAGGATTCTGGAGTTTAGGGACTAAAAAAGAATCATTGAAAAATACAAATACAACAAAAGAAATATCCCCAAACCCAAGATAAATCAAGACCCCACATATTTAGGAAACATAACACATAACCTGTTAACAATTAGTGTTTGTAATTCTATTATTTGCAAATTCTTTAACTAACCAACTTCGTTTGATAGTGGAACATCAAAAATTCCATTACTTGATAGACAAAAAAAATTGGGAGAAAAAAAATCCTTGAATGGTAGCAGTGGGAGATGAAATTTTAAGCACCAGACACGTGTGTGCCGGGGACAAGCCCCACAAACTCTGAGGCTACTTGATGAGATTGCATGTGGTTGGCATTAACAGATAGCTGACAGATGTGGCTTATAGTGAGTAAAGGTACTCATAATGGTTGTTGGAAGATCACGCCTACAGTTAGGGGATCACCCCCTAATAACTAAGAAAGTGGGCAGCTTGCAGAAAGATGTTGGAAGTTGGAACAGGAGTTGACTATGCTCTAGGACTGGTGCCACCATGTTCTCTTGAGGTAGTTATAGAGCTTAGAGGATAAGTCACACAATGCATAAGTATTACCCGACTTTAAATCTATTAGTAAGGCACTCTGAGCTCTCTACTGTGAATTCTTTCCCAAGAAATCTATCGGACTGACTGCTGCTGGCCATGCCACAACTGGCCCAAGGTGTTTACCGCTTATTTGTTTTGCAGGATCACTGCTGCACAGAACCTCAAACATTCATCTTGTTCATATTCTTAGAATGGATTTTTGCCCTCTACAGTAACAATTATAGCAATATATATCTATACATGTATGTATGCATAATATATAAAGTTATTGTAAACATTAATGCATTAGTAACCAAAGAGCTTCAGTATAACTTAAATTTATATAATATATTTTTGAGGGATGACTGTAGTAGACTACACAGCACAGATACAAAAGGGTAAAATTATGTCATTAGTACAAACAACTACATAATTAAAAATCATTAGCAAAGAAAACTTATAGAAAAACAATAAACTCAATACCTTCCGCATTTCAGAAGAAGCTCTTTCAGATCTTACTTTCCTCATTTTCAAGAATAATACGAGTCCTGAATATAAAAATCATTGAATAAGAACTAATAGAAAACATGCAATTCAATGAGATAAGGAGAACAGTAACTCAAGAAACCTTCATACATAGTATACAGGTTTTTCAACAATTGAAAGGGTACAAAATATGAGCAAAAGTTCTATTCCACAGCCCCACCATTTAAACCATGATTCACTGAATTTAGGGCTCCAACTTTAGCAGTAAAATGGGAGAAATCTTAGTGATCAGTTGAAGAATCGAAGTCCAGGATTAAAGAGGGGGAGGGTCTGTTCATTTTTCTCATGAGAAAAACAAACAGAGAGAGCGGGTAGTTACTTTTGAGTTACGAACTAAACCTTTTAGTTTTGGATGTACGACTGAGGTTTCTCCAACTTCACATATGTTGGAATATAACTTTCATCTTCTGCTGAGTCAAGAGAATTTTAAGCCTCCATTACCAATTATCTCCATGCTACAAATGATGTATTTTTCAAGTTTAAAACTAGGAAAAAGATAGTTCTTCCACATCCTTCCCCCGTTGAACTTTCAAAAATAGTTAAAGAGTTCACAAGTCATCTTAAACAACATAGCTCCCCTGTGAGAATCTGATGTGGTCAAAGTGTAAAATTTTGTTGGGAGGTGACATTGTCAAGAATGATGGATATGATGTCCTCTAATCAAGGAAAACAATCTCCATGTGGCTTATTAAAAAGGAAAATGCTAGAAGGCCGCACTAGGAATTGATTGCAGGCATTGTCAAAGAGTATTGCACAAAGTAATATAGGGATTTAGCCCCTTGATTGTCCCAAAAGCCATACCCCATTGATTGTTTAGGACAACCAGCCTTCTTGAGTAAAAGTCTTTTCATCCTTGATGATTTCCTATCCCCGTAATCCACTATGAGACACCAGCTACAGATTGAACATAATTGACTATAGAATCAAATAAATGAATAGGAACATAATTAAAAAGAACTGAGTCGTTGCTCTCCATTTTCGAGAGTGGAATAATAAAGGCCATAGAACTGCACAAAAGCAACAGCAACAACAAAGAAAAAGGTGGTTTTAGAATGCATAGAGAGCCTCACAGAGCCAGACCAGAGAGGGGGAGGGGGGATATTTGGAAGGCTGAAAAAGTACGTAGATAATGAACTAAAAACTTAATATAACAGGGGAAAAGGGACTTATGGATTGGTTTGAATTTACCCCTAAAACAATTTCTACAGGACTTGATCATCCAATGATGAAATTATTTTCATCACAGAAAAAATGGGTATTGAGTCAGTCTCAATGGGAGCACATCTAATCAAAAAGCAGGAAAACACCAAATATCAAAGAAAAAATTCCATTCAGCCAACCATAGTACCTTAGAAAACAATCAGTAATTAAACACAATTCTAGTTCATTGAAGCTACTATCATGCTCTTTCTTTTATGTGAACAAGGTTCGTACTACTTTTGCATTAGATGATAAATGCAATAGACAAGACACCTAAAAATTCGACCATACAGTGTCTCCTATCTTTATTTTTATTTTTATGTATTTTCTTGTTTTGTTCCTCTTTTCAAACTCAAGTTGGTTAGTTTCTATCCTCCTTGAGTTTGCGGGGGGCTGTTAGAATTTACCATTCACACTCACCTACTACACTCCACTACTCCTCACCTACTACCCAAACCCTCTCCTATATAATCCTATATAATGCCACTCTGATTTGTAATACAAAATACAAGATCAACACAATCAATAATAATACATCAGTTATTTTTTCACATTTCTTGCAAGGTGAAAACTTGAAAATCATTTTGAAACCATTCAAAACCCACTTCTTACCATTGGAATCATTTTTTACCAATCTAACATTTAATAGCTGTGTCCAATCAGATTGTAACAATATTGGCTAACCAGTGCATGAAAACAAAGTCAGTATGAACTCCTTGAGAATATTAATGCGTCAACAATAAAACTAATCAGAAGTAAGTCCATACCCGGGCCACCACTTCTGAGTCAATAGGATTCCTTCCCATCCCAATCCAAATAAGGATAGTGGATGCTATCATTAAAACAAAAATTAATGCAGTAACCTGTTCAAAAGCAATGAGTTAATAGAATAAAGAGCATCAATTTGTTTGACATTGCACATTATGATCACTAACAAAAAAGAGATTATACATAAAACTTTCACCACTTCCATACCAAAATCACAATTTTCTGGCGGCTTCCAACATGGACAATACGGAAAGGGCAACATCTTCTGTGACTATCAGCATTTGAATGTGGTTTATTTGATGTTCTCTCCAACAATGCTTCTCGAGGACTACACTCCTCATCCTCATCATCTTCGTCATTTGTCTGATGGCAAAGGTCAACCCTATAAAACCATCCCCAGAAGAGGTGCAGGGTATAGCTTATAAATTACATAGACAAGTTTAAATAATAAATCCATCAACTTGATAAGAACAAGTTGAAACTTGCATAAGATTATTGCTTGAGTTATGCAAATAGTTTCTTTTCCTAGATAAGTATGAAATGTCCCAATAATTACAAACCTTTGCAGTACCAATATGTTCAGAATTGTGAACATGAGACTAAGAACTTATATGAAATAGGTATAACCTCAAGTGGTAAAGGACTTGTAGACTACAGATTCTGTGACAACTGAGTACATGTTGAAGTAGATAACAATGCAATAGATAAATGTGATCTACATGATCATTAATCTCTTCCAAGATGGGGAATTCGATGCATATAATGCAGTACCATCAGCATGTGACACAAAAAAATATTGCAGCACACTATTGCCAAAACAAGAAGGAGATGAAAATTTATAGCCTAAGTCACAACAATAACAGTAGGAACATTGAAACCAAACACAAAACCAAGCACAAAAATTACATTGATGAACGGACTTTTCCAGAGGCTGTCCCCACCAACAAATCTTATCAAATCCTGTCCATCCATATGTTTTCTGTGTCTGGTTCTGTTTTTAGTTTGTGTTCCTAGACTTACTGAGATTTTATAGGGACTTTTATAGCATAAACTGAAGAACAACACACAGAGGAAAAAGAGAATTTGATCAGCACAAAGAAGTGTCTGATGATTCTTAATTGATTAAGAAAGTGGACAAGAAGAATAACATTAGCAATTTCAGAACCTAAATAGACTTGACTAACTAAGAGCATCTCCATTGGTTATTGCCGTTTTGGCAATGCCAAAGCTATAATGTGGCATGCTACAGTGTCAAATTTCTAAATTTTAGCAATGCTGTTCTACTGATGCAAATGTCATTTTGGCACAACCGCCTTTCTCTCTTTTTTTTAACTACCATTCTTTAACCATCATTCCTTCCTTTTTAGACTACCATTTTCTCTTTTCCCAACTATCATTCTCAACTACTATTCTTCCATATTCTTCTCCATAAATTAGGAAAAGATTTTCCCTACCATTTAAACTACTACAATGAACAATTTGAGAAAAATATATTAGAGGAGATTTGATGATTTTTCACCCAATGAAGATGAAACGAAACACATTGATTTGACCAACAAACTAAACATGTTGGTTTTACAAGTGGCCGACGACACATCCACCATGACAGAATCTATAGCAATGAGCAAATAATTAGGGCAAGTTTGGCAAGTTACCAAAAAGTCAAAAAGTTACTCAAAAAGTTAAAAAGTTATCACTATTCACCAAATGTCAAAACTTACGGCTGCACAACCTCCAATCCTAATTTTCTCCTACATACTAATTTATACAATTTTTTAATACACATTTTTTCATAAAAAGTCAAAAAGTTAACCCAAACATCCATATTTTTTTCCTCAATTTTTTAGTCCAAAAAGACAAAAAGTGCACTTATTTAGGACACCCCAAACAACCCCTTAGAGATTACTTTGCTGAGGATTTTGTCTACCCAACCAACATCTTTCGAAAATGCTTTCATATGAATCGGTCATTATTTCTCTGTATCTTAAATGCAATCCAACAATATGACGATTACTTTGTCCCAAAAAATGATGCCACCAGTGTTGACTAGGTTACCCAGCATACTGAAGATGACTATAGCACTTTGGGTGCTTGAATAAGATATGCTCCTTAATCTTGTGGACGAGTACACAAGAATTAGCAAAAATACAACAATTAAGGCTTTTAAGAGATTCTGCAAAGAGATTGGCGGTGTTTGGGAACAAATATTTTGGGTTTTTCTTTGTTTTTTTTCACTAAAAGACAAACTGGTTACAAAACCAAAGAAAACAAATCCAAACAAAATATCACATCAAACCCTATAATCATTTCACTTTTTCTCTCACAAACATCACATCCAACCACAAAAAAACCCAACTATATTTCCAAACATAAAAAAAATAATATCCTACAACTAAAAAAACCTACAAAAAAAACCCACTTCCCAAACACCCACATTGTTGACTTTTACGAAGAATAATACTTACGATCACCAAACGAGGCAAACAATTCTACATTATTATGGGAGGGGGAGAAACATAGATTTCCTAGAATGTTAGGGAACTTGGATTTGTATGCAGTGGCAATGGAAAAAATGTCCAACTTGTACATGTAAATAAACCAAAAATTGTACTTGACACAATGCCTTGTATGACTTGTGAATTTGGCACCAAAAAAAAAAATGTTTGTTTGAAAATAATCTAGATATTGGATGGTGATGGTTGATCGTTGATCAATGGTTTGGTTAATTGTTGGTGAACAAAGAACAACGATCAATGACAATCAACGATCACAGAGAATGACAATCTCAGACCCCTCTTCCCTCTCAAACGTCTTCACTCAATGATGATCCACAATTGCCGATAGTTTGGTCATCAATTGATGATTAACCAGTAACAATGATGATCCTCAAACATAGTATGGATCAACAATCGACAATGATGATCCTCAACTTATTTTTCTTTCCTTTTTTTGGTTTTTTATTTCTTGTGTTGATTTTATGTGGCATTGAATTTTTTGTGATGTTGAAACTGTGTTTAAGTTTGTTGGATTTTTGGTTTTTTCTTTGTTGTTGGAAACATTGGAGGGGGGAATCAGTGAGTTTGATGATGTGGCAAGCCAAAATTTGGCAAAAGATAGCATCCCACTGGAGAGTTGTATTCATGAACTCTTACCAAACTTTGGCAATAGCAAGTCATTTGGCAACCCACTGAAGTTGCTCTAAATACCCAAATTGTAGAGTCCTTAGCCACAACCCCATACAAGGTATTGTTTTAACCCAACGAACATGATTTTTTTTTTGAACAAACAAACATCATTTCAACAATCTCATTTTGACCTTTTTCACATACCAAGTAACCAGATCTATGAAAATTATCCAGTTCCTTTTTTCTTTTCTTTTTTTTCCTTTTTGAGGAGGAAGGAAAGGAGATTCATAATCACACAACACAGAAATACCAAATATGGGTTTCGCAAGAGTGAAACCACTACACTCCCCAAAAGAACAAGTTTAACCTTCAATGAGGTGTAAGACCTTATCTACTCCTCACTTAAAGGCCTCACATCCAATGTCAGACTAATACGAACACTTCCCACTGCCTACGGATCAAAAACTTGGGGGCACTCTCACTAAAACAGTTGCAATCTTGCATGTTCAATTCCTATATGCTAATGATGACTCCTCACGATGACTACTAAAGCGACTGCAGTATTACGTCTGGCAACCATATGCTAATGCAATGACTCCCTCTGATTCTTTGAAATACAAAAAAGTTAGTTATTGCAAATGGAAAATGAAAACTAACAACATATAAAAGTATGTTTTTGGTGGGAGGGGGATAAGTAATATACATTTAAAGTTTCAGTCAAGGTATTGTTTTAACCCAACGAACATGATTTTTTTTTTGAACAAACAAACATCATTTCAACAATCTCATTTTGACCTTTTTCACATACAAAGTAACCAGATCTATGAAAATTATCCAGTTCCTTTTTTCTTTTCTTTTTTTTTCCTTTTTGAGGAGGAAGGAAAGGAGATTCATAATCACACAACACAGAAATACCAAATATGGGTTTCGCAAGAGTGAAACCACTACACTCCCCAAAAGAACAAGTTTAACCTTCAATGAGGTGTAAGACCTTATCTACTCCTCACTTAAAGGCCTCACATCCAATGTCAGACTAATACGAACACTTCCCACTGCCTACGGATCAAAAACTTGGGGGCACTCTCACTAAAACAGTTGCAATCTTGCATGTTCAATTCCTATATGCTAATGATGACTCCTCACGATGACTACTAAAACGACTGCAGTATTACGTCTGGCAACCATATGCTAATGCAATGACTCCCTCTGATTCTTTGAAATACAAAAAAGTTAGTTATTGCAAATGGAAAATGAAAACTAACAACATATAAAAGTATGTTTTTGGTGGGAGGGGGATAAGTAATATACATTTAAAGTTTCAGTTGGCCCAAAACCGTATAGTTGTATAGTTGCAGATTATGACTTCTTAAAAATTTAAAGAAGGGAGCACATACCAGTATGATAGAAGTAGAAGAAATGCTGCAAGAAACAAAATTTTGGGGAACGCTGCAAAATGAAAATTTCACAATTTAACTATTTCTGACAGACAATTATTATGGATATCTAGTTTCTACTTGGAATATAAGGATATACCCATGACAATAAAGCCACAAGAGTGCGACCAGCAAAGCCAACCCTTGCAAGCAGCAACAAGAGTTAACACAAAATAAAAAAAGTAACCTGCTAGGACAGGGGAAAAAATCCATGAATCAGTTCCAACCTTCCATGCAAATAAAAAACCATAGGTCTTGAAGATTACTCTTGAATTACTTCTGAGAAAGATGTACCCATGATTATTTATCACAACAATTCCTTAACCTACAATGTGTATTAAAAGAGGGGGAAAAAACAAAACAACACAAAAACAAAACAACACAGAACATATTTCCCCAATGTAAAGGCTTACAGTGGGTATCACATTACAATGAAGAAACACAGACAACATCCCAGTAAGAGGTAGAAGGTTCTTACTCTGTGCGCCTCTTCTTTTGCCCCCTTCTTTTTGTGGTTTGTAATTTGCAGAAAATTTTCCCCTCAGGGCAACATAACAAGGGTTGAGCCTCTCAGTTATAGTAATCCTACAAATCCAGATATATAGTATTGAAAGAGGTTCGAGTAACTTAATTTCGAGCTCTCAATACGTTTGCATCCCCAATAAATATTCCTCCATAAAAATAATTTGCTATTCATTTCCCTAAATCAAAGTGAAAGTAGTTCGAAGAAGTCCCAAGCAATCTTATATCGCCTTTACACCCTTTTAATTTACCTTCTAAACTCTCCATCACGGGTTGTCTCACTAAATCAAATTGCAAGTATATTTCTGCAGCTGATACAGCAGAAAGCCAAAAACTTGAAATCTTCACTTATAATCTAACTTCCTATATGTCCCAAATCCCACTTCACCTAAATTTTTAGACCTGGACACACTTTGGACACAAAGGGACAAATGTCCATCACTTAGACAAACATAAAACACATTACAAGTTTGAACAAAATAACTTCAGATCCAATTATGAAATGGGGGCAAGACAAGGTACATCTTGTCCTCTGAAGATCCTGTCTTGTGTACAGGATCACCTTTTTATCTGGGGAAGAGTGCATTCAAATGGTAACTCAAAATAATTGCACTTTCATGGAAGTACAAGTGAGCCCATGTTTAGTACAAGTGAAAATTGTAGCGTGGGACAACCCTTACCTCCATGAAAGTGCAATTACCTTGAGTTTTTTCCACATAAATGCAATTTTCCCTTCTATCTTTGACTAAAGTACTCATATATGACATATAATAAATATATAAAAATATATATTTAGCGTGTATCCCACACGTGGCATGTCCTACATTTTAAAGATCTATCATGTTAGTGTGTTTGTCATTCTGTATTTGTGGTTCTTAGCTAGATAGTAATTATTGATCCTTGCTAATATATTTTGGTAAAACAATAGTTAGCTGATGATGAATACTTACAAATAACCTCAATGCAAGAAAGGAAGATGTTGAAATCAAGTCCTATAGACATTTGGAATTACAGAAAATAAAATACAGCCACCTAAAAAAATCAACATCAGTTGAAATTTCAAGTTCTCAAATTGTCCCGATACTCTAGATATGCTTTGAAGTGGATAAGAAAGCAGGTTCCACAATTATACAGAACATCACAGTGAAGAGACGAACAAGAATGCTTTATCTCCAAGATACTTTAAATAATTAAATAGAAAATACAAATCCTAAATGAAGCAGCAAGACACCATTACCCATAATCACCAATAATAAAATTTAAAAAATTTCAAGCAAAAGAAAAAAGTGACAGATCTCAATATCCAAGGCAGACTTTCGAAGAAACAAATTTATTTTAGTCTCAACACCCAATAGAAAGGGAATATGCTTAAACTAGAAGATAAATGCACCTCCACCCTTAAAAAAGGAAAAAAATAAAATGGCACAAGGTACCCATCCTATTGTTCACATTTGTAAGGTGCATCATTGACATGAGTTATATGTAATTAAATTCAAAACAAACTTTTCATGTATAGGAATGGCAACCTGCTAAAGGTGTAGCAGTCTCAGTCAATATGGTTAGAAGTTTTCAGTCAGTCAAGCTAAATGAAAACAGATGGCATGAATTGCATTAGATTATACACAATTCATCCATGATAGTGCTGCTTTATGTTTTCTTCCCCCAGAAATTTCCCACTTTATTACTTTGTTATCTGCTCTATGTAGTTCTACTAACATGCTTGATGCAATTTATGGCTATTCATAACACTAATCAGCAGAAATTTCATTAAATTAAAATTAACTGCAGTCACTAGATGAATGCGTTGAAAAATAAATAAAAACGGTAAATGATTACCTTGTTCGTTCTACAGCATAAAATGTAGATGCAATCTTACTTTTACAAGTGCATAAAAACAGTAAAAAGAAATATCGAAGAACAACGAATGCTGCACAAATAAGAATTATTGTTGAGAAAAATGCAATTCCTTACCCACATTAGAAGAGCCAATAATTAGGTGAAATACCTGCAATTGTAAGCTCAATTGTGTCAAGAACAATCCAAAAAATTAAATAAGACCATGCCATGGCCCCTAAAAAAGTATTAAAAGAAAGGATACATAATGTGAAGTGTTCCATACTACGCCACCTATTTTGAAGTGTGTGTTTCATAGCACTGCAGCAGTGCCAACTAATATAACCAAAAACCAACAATTGCATAGCTTGCATCTCAACGGAAAATAAAATTATAAAAAAAAATAATTAAAAAAAAAGAAGAAGAAGAGAGTAATTGGATCATTGATACATGTTAACATAGCACTTACTTTCTGGCGAGTCCAGCCAAGATGTGAATTCCTTGCATGGATCCGCATCAACTGGTAAAATAAAGCAGCAAATCAAATGATGCAATAAAGCAATAAGTATACTCTCTATAACAAATAAATAAAGAATGAAAAGGAGGGAGGGGGAAGTGAGAAGAAACTTGTCATATATTAGCCTATAGTATCTCAAAACTATAGAACCAATGACATATAAAGCAAACAACTTGTAAGAGTCAATATTTTAATGATTGGAAAAACATACCACCAGTACAAACAAGTGCATGGATATGCTTTAGTGCCAAACCATAAAGTGCACATAGCCATCATGTTATGTGATCTCTTTTACACTTCAATTAGTTGTGTGCCCATAGCTCAACCCAAATCATGATTGGGGACCTAAGTTATTATTCAAGCCTGAGCAACCACCCGTGGTATAAGATAAAAAAAAACTCTAATGTTTTGGCACATGCTTGAACTCACTTTTGTATCAAGCGATCACTGGAATCCATTATGTGATTAGGTTAAAGATTTAACACATTATGCAATTATATGCAAAATTACATTATTTATTTCATAACCACTTCAAGCTTGATAGATAAACCATAAAGAAAAATAATTGGCAACCTAACTTGAACACGTAGACATACACTACTGAACAATCTAAAGGGAATATAGAACAAGACATGCAGAAATACTCAATGCATAAGTCAAGGGAATAGAAAAAGTGAAAGTTCAAAAAGTAAGGGAATGGACATGACGCCCTTTTTACCATCCAATTTAATTAAATACAACCAATGGGACTAAATGGTGAGGAGAACATTTTTCTTTAGCTAGCCTACGACATGATTTAACAATTTATTGGGGTGAGTTAGGTTGCGACTAATATCATAATTGTAGTCCTTATATTATTCAACGTGTAAACATCTTTTTAAAATGTAACTTTATTCAACATGTGATAGCCTTAAATTGGTTTTGAGTACGTGGGAAGAATTAAGTGCATAGCTTGCTTGATTCAATCACCTTCAAAGTTCATACTTTGACAAATCATCCTTATATATAATTACTGTCGATGACTACTATTGTGAGAATTTTCTAAGCATAAATTATGATTTTAACTTTCCTTTGCTAATCTTGTAGGGGTCAGTTACCTTGAACATAATTTTAATTTTATCATGTTCCCTACTTCTCTTTAACATTTTCCATCATGAACGGCTATTACTTACAAGAAAAATTCCATTTTAAATGGCATTTGACAACAGTTGGGAACTAATTTGACGCAATAATGCTAATAGAGTGTAACCCATTTGTATAGTACACTGTTTCTTGCACCTATCTAGACTCCTCCAACAGCACCTAGCCAACCACAAGCCTTGCCATTTATGTGCACCATTCAGTTTGACAAACATGCAATGATGCAATGCATTACTCCAGATAGAGCATGTGCATTTGGAGCAACTATGTTAAAATAATTCATACTCTGCATTGGGCTGTTTGCTATTACAACAATTGCATATATTCAAAACCATAATCAAGGAAATAGTTTAATTGCATGATTCCCTTTCATTTTATTAAATTGCAAGGACATAACTATCAAATAATAATCAAGTAACAACCAGCGAAGGGAGAAAAAGAGGGGGGGGGGGGGGGGGGAAACATTCAGGAGCGCCTTTAAAATAACTTCATATAAACTAAAAGCTTAAATAAACTATTTATAAGCTGTGCCAAATAGGCACGTATCTATACTTACACTTCCATCGTTGTCTCACATCATCACCAAATCAAGAAAAATAATTTAAGAAAAAAAAAAAAAAATTCTAGAAAGCAGTCATTTTCCTATTTCTAGACAAGCACAAACACACAATTACATATACGTGTGTATATATATGTTGTGTGTAAACATTAACAAGAATATATGTGCATATATGTGTGGGTGTATGCCCACATAAATCTACAATAACAAATTAGAAGCAAGAACAGAGTCAGATCTGATAGAATACAAGAACAGCAATTGTGACATCGATACAATCAAGAGCAACAAAACAGCCATTATGGCCTTAAAATAGTAACTTACGTCTCTCAAATCAAACAACATCTCTCCTTCAAAGGCATGCACCCTTGGGGATCACAAAACACACTAATTTCCCTCTGTTTTCTTAATATAGATCCACTCTCTCTATCTTCCCAAGAAATGAGAGACGAACTGCACTGAGAAGCTGTTCTGTTGCAGCTATGAAGTGTGTGGTTTGAATTCTTAAGCATCTTTTATAGCCAATTTGCTGGCAGCAACTAATTCCATAATAGAAAATGCAACATACAGGATGCATGACAGTTGTATAGAAAAACATGTTTCCTGCAACTCTGTAGGCTCTGCAACTCGCACATAGCCAACAAGTAGTCTTGCTTTTTACACTTCCAAAGCATTTTAACAACTGTGGAAAGCATTCATCCACAGTATAAACATTGATCAAAATGATTATATGCAAACGTTATCAAATTTTAATACTTCAATTGCATCTCTATGAAACCATCATTAAGAAAACAGTTCAATGCCAAGCTCTCTTCCTTTTCTTTAAATTCAGCTACAAAACCATCGATTAACCATCAACAAGGGGAAAAAAAGTATTAAAAAAAATATATATATATATATATATAAGAAGAAGAAGAAGAGGAAGAGATTATTTCATAAGTCCCCAACAGCACAACAGAAGCCAATTATCACTCCATCAGGATTACATCTCAGACCTCCATATGATCATCAAAAGATAGACTAATCCAAGAAAAAACTTGAAACAACAATCAATTTCCAATTCATAACACATGCATACACATATGTATGTTGTGTGTGCTTGGATTGACCTGAACAAATTGAAACTGGAACAGAACAAACCTGATAGAATGCAAGAACAAAAATTGCACCATGAAAGCAAGCAAGAGAACCATTAACATCCACAAAAGGCCTTGGATAGCAACTTCTGTCTGCCATCATCTCCTTGTCAGAAGTGTGCGCCCTTGGCATATAGAACACAGCAATCTCTTCCTACTTTCTTAATATATATATATAGCAACTCTCTCTCTCCCTAAATCTCTAACAAATGAAGGAGGAAGTGCATTGATGTCTTTAGTTTTGCAACTTCAAAGTGTAGGTGATATCTTTTAACATATATGAATTTTGTGGCAAATCTGCTAGTGGCAAATAATTTCACAATAAAAATGCAACATACAGGGGGATAATAGTTGTACACAACACGTGTTTGCTGCTACTCTCTAGACTCCTCCACTAGCATACCCAACCAAGAGTCTTGTTGTTTGTGCTTGCACACCGCATTTTAACAACTATGCAAGGCATTATTCCCAAAGGAACTATATTCAAAAATAAAAAAATTCAAGCGTTTCACATCACTTATTGGTTTTTTAAGTACATCACTAATAACGTTTACAAGAGAATCTCTTTTAGTCCAGGTACTTAGCTGGAAGAATCCATTTCTGCTATTGCATTTATACAAGACCACTATCAAAAAATAACTTAAGTGCCTAAATTGGCTTAGCCTAAATGTTAACTACATAACTACAAAATAACAATCAATCAACATCTGGAAATAAAAAGGAAAGAAAACAAATATCACCATCATTGGTCTCAATCGCTCCAAACAACACAAACCTATATACTGTTATCAGAATCTTACGATTTGTGATTCTAATTCACGATTCGATTTGTAATTTTTCAAAATCGATACGAATCTATTGGTGAATCTACTTTAACAGTGAATCTCTAGTGAATCGCATGATTCACAATTCGATTCACTTTTTACGATTCATGTAATTCTTGAAATTATCTTGTTCAACATATTTTTAACTCTTTTTTTTGTCATCTTTTTTGTGAAAATAACATAATACAACTTCTAATAGCGTTTGGTACCAAAATAACTAATATATACACGATTTGTTATTATTTTAGTGATCATAGAATTTTTAATAGGATCCAATTAGATTTAGTCAGACCTAACATGTTTTTAACATTCGTTCTCATTTTTATTTTTTTATTTTTTAAAAATCATAATAAAGATGTTTAAGATTAAAGTAACTTATACCATGAATTATCTGTTGTTATTTTATTAAATTAAATATAGTTGAATATTACATAGGTGAGATCATTTATACCTTTTAAACTATTTTGGGCTTTAAAAATAAAATATTGTAAATAATTCTTTCTTATTATTTGGTCATTGTTACTTGAAAAAGTATGTATTTTTATTGTCCAAATATCAATATCGTTATTAAATTATTGTCACTTTAAAAATTGAGAATTTGTCTTTATTTATAGTCTTTATTAAGAATTGTTGATAAGAAGTATCTAAAGAAGGGAAAAGGTAAGATGGTGATCTTAAATAGGAACCTTTGTTAACTTCTTACCTATTAAACTATGTGATTATCATTCAAAATAACATTTTTATTGATTCAAGTCTAACTATTTCATGTTCATAATAAATATTTAATATCCAAGTGTGTAGATATATTTTTCTAAGCAAATTAGAAAAAGTGACCGAATGTTTAAGATTCACAATTCGATTCAAGATTTGGTACGAGACCATTTCAATTCACAATTCAAATCCCAATTTGACAACTATATGTTGAAATCAATGGTCATCAGAAGATTAACTAATCCTAGAGAACCTTATAAATCACAACTAGACTTTCCTTTTTAACACAAATCTGCATAATATATGTATATGCATTTGATACATGTGGGAGTGTGTATATATGTTGCCACAACAACAAATTAAAAGCAAAAACTAAACAGACTTGATAGGATGCAAGCACTGCAATAGTGGTACAAATGCAAGCAAGAGTTACAAGGACTTTTCTAAATTTGTGAAATACCCTTGTTGGACATTTGACACTTGAGTCCGGGTATGAGATGTGTCCAATATACTTAATTGGACATGCATCAACTAAGTATGTCTAAGTAGTCAAAATTACTATATAGCTATGTGTAAGACTCTAAATTTATGGATAGAATGCTCTAACGTTAGTTTATACAACATGAGGAATAGATAAACCTGGCACTTAGGCACATATTTGTACCTGACACCCCACTTGAGTCCATGTAACAAAGGATTGTAAAAACTTGGATCTCTCAATTCAAACATCATATCCTCTACAAAAGCACGCAACCTTGGAATCACAGAATATACAATCCACTCCGTACTTTCTTATTACATACTCTCTCCTTCCTGCAAGAGAGAGTGCATTGAGAAAGTTCTCCATATGCAACTATCAAGTGCATGGTTCATGAAAACCATCTTTTAAAGTTATCTTTCATCGTCATCTATTAATGCAAACTAATTTTACAATAATAATGGAACGTACAAGGTGCATTATAGTTGCACAGAACAAGTGTTTTATGCAACTCTTTAGGCTCCTGGACTAGCACAATAGCACATGCCAACCAAAAGTCTTATCATTTGTGTTCCTGCACTGCATTTGAACGCATTGGTCCAGATAGATCATGAGCCTCTAGAGGTACTATGACTATTCTCTCATCTGTTCGAACTTATCATCTATCATTCTAGTATCTATTATGGCCCCATTTGGTATCACTTACGAGTTAGCATTTATGATTATAGTTTTTAAAATTATTGCTTAAAAAAATTTAAATAAGTTGTAAATCTATTTAGTGCAACTTTAGATAATACATGAAAAAATTGAACTTGTTTGGTTAAATAAGTTGTTGTACAGTTTTTTGTTGTACCAATATCCAAAATATCCTCACAAGTTGTAATTAAGACAAAAGACTATGTAACTTATAAAAATTATACTTCTTTTGGCTAATAAGCAGAAAAGGTCAAATAAGTTATCATTTAAAATTGTAACCAAACACTATTAGTCAATTTTTTCTTAAGCAAATAAGTTAAATGAGCAGACTTATAAATGCTTCCAAATGGGGCCTATACTCATTCTATCTAGTAAAGCCAACATAACCACTGCTATAACTGGTAGTTTTGGTATGAGAGCAGTTATGGTCTCTCAAACAATAAAAACTACAAAGCCAACTGGCATGATTCTACATAAATTGAATAACAAACTACGTAAAAGAATTTAAAATTTCTTAAGATGGTTGTATGTAGAAGGAAAAGGATTCAATAAGACAAAACCCACGCGCATAGTGCGTGGCACTCCTCTAGTACCAAAGAAGGTTGTTTTGGTAAGGAAGCAGTTCTGGTCTCTCATATCTAACCTTTGTTGTGTGTCAAATAAAAGAATATCCGAATACAAAATAACTGGCACAAGTGATTGACATTATTGGAAACTTTCTTAACATCTTTTTACCCCTTTTTCTCTCCATCTCTTTGCCTTCTCTCCATTCTTGTTTTCCTACTTTGTTTTTACAGTGTGGGCTTTGATCGTGTGCATCACGCATATCCCCAATATAGAGTTTGATGAACAAATAGCTTAGAAATGGTGGCAATTTTGGTCCCTATTCTTTAAATTGCAACAACTTGGCAATTTGAGAGAGTTCGACATCTAAACATGACTAACACAAGAAAGTGAGTGTGAAATAACATAACTGTATCAAAAAAAAAAAAAAAAATTTGAAGACTTACGTGTAAATCATAATAGATGGACTTATTATCCAATAGGTCATGTGAAAATTAATGACATTCTTCATTAACACTATTAAAAAGTTATTGATTGCTAATTTTCGGTGATAGTTTGAAAATTGTTACAAAAAGTCATTAATTATAAGTTTTAGCGATAGTTTAAAAAATCATCACAAAAAAAAAAATCACTAATTTTCAACTTTCCATGACATTTTGAAAAATTCGTCACAGAAAAACGTTACTAATTGTAAATATTAGAGACAATTTATAAAAACCGTGACAAAAAAAAATCACTAATTGTCAATTTTTAATGACATGTAAAAAATCACCATAAAAAATTATTTTTAACGACCATTTTATAAGTTTCAATAGAACTTTATGAGAATTAAGTCTACCTATTAGTCCTTACCCTGAAAAAAGACCACAAAAAACATTTCTCAAAGATCATCCGGAAGCCTTTGCCGGTCGATCCTATGGGGTCATCAGGGCACATCTCCAAGACACTTTTAGTGAAAAAAATTTCGTAGTCTCTAGCCTTTTCAAATATACAATAAAGTGAGAAATACTAGCAAATGTACCCCCTAGCTCAAAAAATTCCAAGCTTTACATTGCACTATTGGTTTTCACACTCACTACTTCATCTTCATAAAACCATTACCAATGTAATGGCTTAATTATTAAATTACCCATCAAATAAAACATTCAGTCAAAATCAAGAAACACGAAGGGCTTTCACTAATCTCATCATTCCCAAATAATCAGTCTACCAATACCACATCATAGAACTCCATGCAATGATCCAAAAAAAAAAACCCTATAAACCAAAATCAATGTTTTTGACAAATATATACAGATATTGCGAGTGCAATGTAGACCTGATAGAAGGCGAGAACAGCAATTGAGGCATCGATACAAGCAAGAGCGGCATTAACACCAACAAAGGTCTTGGGATAACAACTTCCGCATCTCAATTCGAACATCATCATCATCATCATCTCCTTTCCCCCCTGCCCCCCTCCTCCTCCTCACAATCTCTCTCTAGTTTCTCTGACTTCACACACACATACACATATATACATGAAAATGTATATGTATATGTATATGTATAGATATAGGTAGGTATATACTAGATGAGAGAGAAAGTGAAGTGAAGAGGAGGTGTATCAAAGTGGATACCCTTTGAAGAAGTTTCTTTCATGGCAGATCTGCTCGGGTGATTTTGGGGTATGGTTTGGTTTGAGAGAGAGAGTGATTTGTGGTCTGTCTGACGCTTTCGCATCGCACGCACACGCACACGCACACGCGGGTGGTGGCTTTCAAGCTTTTGGGAAGAGAAAAAAATAATAATAATAATAAAAAATGAAAATGAGGATTGACCTAATAAAAAAGGTCCACTTCGTTTAATGGGGTTTGTATGTGGTGAATATACTATACTAGGACAGTGGTGTGAGTGTGAAATTTAGGCCTTCTTTGGTATAATTTTAAAAAATTAAAAAGTCATTATTTTATTTAAATCATATCATCTTATTTAAGTTACATTACCTCTCTAACACATCACTTCAAACTTAACCCATACTCAACTATATTTCATAAAAAATCAAAAAGTGCACTTATTTAGATCATCCCAAATCATTCCTTAATATCAAATTAATTAAGTCTAGGAATATAATATTTTAATAATTTTTTAATTTTTAATTAAAATATGAGATAAAAAATTTGTATATTTAAAATAATTTTTAGTTTTTTTACGAAAAACTATGCAAAAAAATAGAGAAAAAAACAATTTTTTGATATAGGTTATAAGTTTTTTAATTAACTTTTTTATTTTTATGTTAAAACTATTACTGCCGACACGTAAATTAAAAGAAATTTGAAATAAGAGTTAGGTTTTAAATTTATGCTATTATATAAATAAAATTTTTAAATGAGATTACATGGCTTATTGTTAGACCGTCTCTAACATTTATTTAGGGGTGTTTTGAAAAGATGGTTAAAAATTCAACAATATAAAAAAAAAATAAGTATAAAACGACGTCGTTTTGAGTGATTTAAGCCATTTGAGTCATAAAATTTTGAGCTACCAAACATTTTCCTTAAAAATTACTTTTAACTTTTTTTGACTTTTTTTATTAGAGAGGGAAGTGGGTTAAAATGTGAGAAATAGCTTTTAACTCACTTTCCAAAATAGCCCTTAAATTTGTAATCAAATTTAAATTTAATGAAACACATTAATTACTTTCTTTCCTCTAATCATGGCATCAAACCTATATTAAGACTTCATTTGACAACATTTAATTTTAGCCTAAAAAAAACAAAAAGTCATTACAAATATCAAAAAGTCAATAAATTATACTAAAAAGCCAAATATATATATATGTATATATATTTTGCACATTTTTTCATAAAAAGCTAAAAAATATTCTAAACATATTAATTTTTTTTACTTCATATTTTAGTCAAACAACAATGATTCATACCACTAAAAAAAACACTAATAGCACTAATGCATTGGGAATGTCAAAAAAAAAAGAAAAAGGCATAGCCCACTGCCACATCATTAGTGATGCTATTAGAGCACTACTTTTCATGCTCTCAACCATTTTTCTTTAGTCAAAAAATCAAAAAGTTACTAAAATAGTCTATTCCTAAACAAGGCCTAGATGAGGGGAAAAACAAAAATTGTATCGAATCAAATGAGATTTCAACATTCATCAAATTTTTGAAGAGAGCCATTGCGCTTCACCGTACACCGAACAACCAATCGATTGTCCGTCTCCCAGACAATTGGGTATTTGTAAAGTTGCTAATTGTTTTGCCCTTGTTGGTTGTCTCCCAGTCAATTGATTATTTAATCAAACTTAAACCATTAGTGTTGAAACGCAAAGTATCAAATTAAATTTTTTATCAAATTTTTACTCAAATGTAATAAAAAATTAAAGTAAGCATTGGAAATGCTTTTAGGGGTGATAAAAGAGTTAAACAAAACAAACTGTTTAACTATTTAATATAGATTAAAAAAAAATGAATGTATTTGTACTAAAAATTGAGAAAGAGTTTGACAATTTAGGCTCCGTTTGGGAAGCAAGTTTGGACTAAAATAGCCATATAAGACAAAATTGATTATTTTAACTAAATAAGACAAAATATCACATCTAATTCATAATTATTTTATTTTTTCTTTCACAAAAGTCAAAAATTCTATCTCATGAATGAGACTTTTTAACCCCAGGCTAAAAAAGCTAAAAAGTCAATCCACATCCCAAACGAACTCTAATATTGTAAAAAAAAATAAAATCAATAAGCCATATAAAAATTAATTTATTTTTATTTTTATTCACATTTTTTACACTTTTTTTTTTTTGAAAATTCCAAAAATACATTTTATAAATAATTTAGTTTTCTCACTTCATATTTATAATAAAAAAATTACTAAAAACATATGTTCTCAAACCAACCCTCACCTAACCCAAAATTATTTCGTAATCGGGAGGCACCACCTCTCAATACTGTTACCAATCACTAAATACTATGTCTTTTATTATTTTTCATCATTCAACACAAAAGTAAATTTTTTTCACCAATTACAATATTTTTAGAACATCAGGTGACCATGTTTCAACACCATCAAATAACTTCACTTTGCTAATCAACAAGTCATTAGAAAAATACTTAAAACACTTAGGGCTAGTTTGGCATGTACTAAATAAGCCAAAAAGTCAAAAAGTCACTATCTTATTTAAGTCACATCATCTTATTTAAATCACATCACCTCTCTAACACATCACATCAAACCCAATCCAAACCCAACCCAAACCCACCAATAAGTCAAAAAGTGCACTTTTTTAGGACATCCCAAACCAACCCTTAATTTATCAACCCTAAAAACAATTCTTAATGATATATATGATGTAAAAAATCACCATAAAAAATTATTTTTAACGACCATTTTATAAGTTTCAATAGAACTTTATGAGAATTAAGTCTACCTATTAGTCCTTACCCTGAAAAAAGACCACAAAAAACATTTCTCAAAGATCATCCGGAAGCCTTTGCCGGTCGATCCTATGGGGTCATCAGGGCACATCTCCAAGACACTTTTAGTGAAAAAAATTTCGTAGTCTCTAGCCTTTTCAAATATACAGTAAAGTGAGACATACTAGCAAATGTACCCCCTTGCTCAAAAAATTCCAAGCTTTACATTGCACTATTGGTTTTCACACTCACTACTACATCTTCATAAAACCATTACCCATGTAATGGCTTAATTATTAAATTACCCATCAAATAAAACATTCAATCAAAATCAAGAAACACGAAGGGCTTTCACTAATCTCATCATTCCCAAATAATCAGTCTACCAATACCACATCATAGAACTCCATGCAATGATCCAAAAAAAAAAAACCCTATAAACCAAAATCAATGTTTTTGACATATATATACAGATATTGCGAGTGCAATGTAGACCTGATAGAAGGCGAGAACAGCAATTGACGCATCGATACAAGCAAGAGCGGCATTAACACCAACAAAGGTCTTGGGATAACAACTTCCGCATCTCAATTCGAACATCATCATCATCATCATCTCCTTTCCCCCCTGCCCCCCTCCTCCTCCTCACAATCTCTCTCTAGTTTCTCTGACTTCACACACACATACACATATATACATGAAAATGTATATGTATATGTATATGTATAGATATAGGTAGGTATATACTAGATGAGAGAGAAAGTGAAGTGAAGAGGAGGTGTATCAAAGTGGATACCCTTTGAAGAAGTTTCTTTCATGGCAGATCCGCTTGGGTGATTTTGGGGTATGGTTTGGTTTTAGAGAGAGAGAGTGATTTGTGGTCTGTCTGACGCTTTCGCATCGCACGCACACGCACACGCGGGTGGTGGCTTTCAAGCTTTTGGGAAGAGAAAAAAAAAATAATAATAATAATAAATGAAAACGAGGATTGACCTAATAAAAAAGGTCCACTTCGTTTAATGGGGTTTGTATGTGGTGAATATACTAAACGAGGACAGTGGTGTGAGTGTGAAATTTAGGCTTTGTTTGGCATAATTTTAAAAATTAAAAAATTAAAAAGTCATTATTTTATTTAAGTCATATTATTTTATTTAAGTCACATTACTTCTCTAACACATTACTTTAAACCTAACCCATACTCAACTCATATTTCATAAAAAGTCAAAAAATACACGTATTTAGATCATCCTAAATCACTCCTTAATATCAAATTAACTAAGTTCGGGAATATAATATTTTAATTTTTAATTAAAATATGAGATAAAAAATTGTATATTTAAAATAATTTTTAATTTTTTTATGAAAAAATATATAAAAAAATAGAGAAAAAAATAATTTTTTGACATAGGTTATAAGTTTTTTAATTAACTTTTTTATTTTTATGTTAAAACTATTACTGCCTAAACTATACGTAAATTAAAAGAAATTTGAAATAAGAGTAAGACTTTAAATTTATGCTATTATATAAATAAAATTGTTAAGTGAGATTACATGGCTTATTGTTAGATCGTCTCTAACACTTACTTAGGGGTGTTTTGAAAAGATGGCTAAAAATTCAACAATATATATAAAAAAAAAATGAGTATAAAACGACGTCATTTTGAGTGATTTAAGCCATTTGAGTAATAAAATTTTGAGCTACCAAACATTTTCTTTAAAAATTACTTTTAACTTTTTTTGACTTTTTTTATTAGAGGGGGAAGTGGGTTAAAATGTGGGAAGTAGCTTTTAACTCACTTCCCAAAATAGCCCTTAAATTTGTAATCAAATTTAAATTTAATAAAACACATTAATTACTTTCTTTCCTCTAATCATGGCATCAAACCTATATTAAGACCTCATTTTACAACATTTAATTTTATCCTAAAAAAATAAAAAGTCATTACAAAAATTAAAAAGTCAATAAATTATACAAAAAAGCCAAACATATATATTTTTTATATATATTTTTTGCACATTTTTTCATGAAAAGCTAAAAACTATTCCAAACATATTAATTTTTTTTTCATCATATTTTAGTCAAACAACAATGATTCATATCACTAAAAAAAACACTAATGGCACTAATATATTAGGAATGTTAAAAAAAAAAAAGGTATAGCCCACTGTCACATCATTAGTGGTGCTATTAGAGCACTACTTTTCATGCTCTCAACCATTTTCCTTTAGTCAAAAAATCAAAAAGTTATTAAAATAGTCTATTCCTAAACAAGGCCTAAGTGAGGGGGAAAACAAAAATTATATTGAATCAAATGA